TTTCCTAATATTTCGCAATTGTCTATAGCCATTCAACATTACAGTATAATTGAGAGCTGTCAAACAACATTACAGTATAATTGAGAGCCACACACACACACACACACACACACAAATATATATACTCATTTTAATATCAACCAGCCCTACAATTAACTTATACAATTCTCAGTAAAAGCAAACTTTTAGATATCTATAAAAATAAGATAATTAACAAATACATACGTAATTTGTACATTACAATATTTATCATGACTGATTCATTGATCTGCACACTGAATGTGTCAAATGTGAGAATGTAGTAGTGCGCACCTGTGCATAAGGCAGGGAGAACACAGGCATCTGTGCTCTCATCTGAATGGTGTGTTTCTGCTGCTCCAGGCGCATCTGTCTCTCCTTCTCCTGCTCCTGCAGGCGCTGGATTGCGAGCTGCCTTTGCATCTCCAAGTACTCCTGCAGTAACCGATCACAGTCAGCTTTCCCTCATCACATGATTCACAGGCTCAAAAGAAAAGCAACTTGCCTGTTTTTTCTGCCTCATGATCTCTAGTTTCTGGGCGAGTTGGATTTGTCTCTGTCTCTCTGCCTCCTCGGCAGCCCGTCTCAGTTTCTCCCTGTGCTCATCTCTCAGAGCGTTCAGTGCCGCCCGCGCGTCACGCACCTGCGCCAGTTTGTCCTGAAGTCCCTCATAGTACACTGACCGAGAGAGAAGACAACATTCACATCACAAAGCACCTTTTAATTCAGAATTGTTATGGACGATACTTTGAAACTGCAACCCACCAAGCTACAATATATTTGTAAATTTTGTGTCATTTGGAAAGAGCAGTTATCTACACTGGAAGTTACTAACAAAAACATCAGGTTAACAGCTTGGGGGCAGCAGTTTCTAAATATTATAAAGGTAAAAATAATAATAATAAATATATAATCTAATTTATTCTGATGTTTACATTTAAACTGATTCATTTTCAAATTATTTACTTCTAATTATTTTAGTAAATATATTAAACAAATTTATTTGCAGCAGTTGAAATGCATGTGATATTTACTATCTTTAAATAGTGGGAAATCTAAATAAATAATCTCATTTATTTTGATCATTATTTAAATTGTATTTGATTCATTATCAAATTATTTGTTTCTGATAAATAATATAAACTTATTTGCAGCAGTTATGCATGTGTTATTTACTAGCTGTAAATTATATCAGGGTATATACAGGAATTATGGAGTTAAATTTAATACCTTTTAAGACCTTTTTTAAGACTCTTTCCATACATTTTAAGACCTCATCGCCACTCCAAGTTTTAACCGGTTACATCAGCGACACTTTAAATTACATTTACTATATACTGATTGTAAGATAGCACAATTAACAGACTTACTTTATGATAACTCCTTATCAATACAACATAATTTAGAAGGGGGGGAACGAAGCACAAGATAATGAATTGAGTGACTAACCAATGCAACAAGAAACAAGAATTAGACCAATAAACAAAACAACTGACAAAACTTATTGAGGAGAGAAAATAAAACTCTCCGAGCTAACGGGACAATGAGTTCACGCAGTATATTCAAAAGATGTATTTGTCACATCAACTCAAACCATAGCTGTTTTGTGGAACACTTCTCACTTTAAATTACATTTACTATATATTGATTGTAAGATAGCACAATTAACAGACTTACTTTATGATAACTCCTTATCAATACAACGTAATTTAGAAGGGGGGGAACGAAGCACAAGATAATGAATTGAGTGACTAACCAATGCAACAAGAAACAAGAATTAGACCAATAAACAAAACAACTGACAAAACTTATTGAGGAGAGAAAATAAAACTCTCCGAGCTAACGGGACAATGAGTTCACGCAGTATATTCAAAAGATGTATTTGTCACATCAACTCAAACCATAGCTGTTTTGTGGAACACTTCTCATGACAAACATCTGACTGATCAGACCGTTTACCTGTGATTACGGAGTGATTGATTTGATGCAGACTTCACAGTGTGTCAGTACTGCACCTGGTCATGTCTGAATGATCATGGAAGGTAAAATAATGATCACAACTATTACATTTTAATTGTGCATCCCAAGCCCATGCCAGTAAAAAAAAAAA